TATTTTATCAGTTTCTAGCTTGATTTCAAATAGAGACAAAAGGCATAATAAAATATTTTCCATTGATCCCCGAGATGCGATCAAAGATCATAAAAAGCCAAGGATGGCTGTTCTCCTGCTGCGACGAAGCCCTCGCTTCCAGCGCCGAGGAGAAGCAGTGGGCTGAACATGCCCTCCATTTCCCAGTTTTTTGGCCCAAACCAGTGGTACAGCCACAATCCTGCTGGCCTTGCAGGCATTTCTTGGGCAAGTCTGACCTTCCTGGTGCTGCTCCATGTTAGAAACCTGGCTCCTTGCCACCCAAGGGAGGATCAGGGCTCTCAGACACTTCTGCCAATAGATGCATCATGTTTGGGGAAATTTGGGTCACATCATGAACCTGGGGCCACACCAAGGGCCCCTTTGCGCTGGTCAGGGGGAACGATGGTGCTTTTCATTCCTAAATGTCTGGCTAACAATCCCAGGCCCCAGCTCAGGATGCTCCAGCGCGCGTTCACCCTTGCTCAAGGCAAAGGCTGCGAGGGTTTTCTGATGTAGGACCCTGGCTTTCATCTCTCCCCTATGAACAAAGCCAAGTTTCTGCCCAATATACTGAAAATATTGGGTGAATAATCAGAGGGGAATCTCAGAGAAAGCCTTTACAGGACCCTGAGGCTACCAGAGTAAATCTTGTCTCGATTACGAGAGGAGATGTTTAACCTTAACGCATTCAATCGCCTCCCCACGGCACGCTCCTTGCCCACTGTTGGCCTCTTCAATCCTTAAATCTCATCTAATTAGGAAATTACTTATGCAAACATTTGAACTCACCTTGTAAAGACTGAAAATAAGGCTACAAAAATGCACATGCAGGAGAACCAGAGTTTTTACAAATCTGGGTCTATAAATGGCATTTCAATATTAATTAATTCAATGCAGTTAGAGGAAAATTAATTTATGCAATTAAAAATTATTAGATTAAAAGCAATTTTTTAAAACCACTGTCCTGTTGTGATTAATCCTGTGCTCTGTCGTGTGATTTCAATGCTTTCAAAATGAGGAGACTTTTCAAATCACTACGCTTTATGTAAAGTAGAGGAGTAATTAGATACCAAAAACAATAATTATCTCAATGAGAGACAGAGAAGCAGGCAAGTGTAAATACACTTCCCAGGGTAAATGCAGACCCACGAAAGGAATTGTTATGCACAAGCCAAACCACGGAGCAGCCAAGCACAGCCCTATGTCAAAACCGCTGAGTTTCTGCACACCAAAGACAACCCAGACCCTGATCTGTCTCGTTACCGTCTCTGTGATAAAGGTTAATCAAGCACAAAGCAGGAAGCAACACATGAGCTCTTGGGAATTTATCTTCAGCTCTGGGTACATAACACCCAAGCCAGGCAGAGGGCTGAAGTGTCCATTTTTCCTGTTGGTATAAAATGAAGCAGGTTTCTGGGAAGTGATGTGAAGCCCTTCCCGGCAAGCAGACGCTGGGAAGGCACGGAGAGCCCTCTCTTGTACCCACGCTCACTACCTGTAGAGATGCTACAAAATCGTAGAAACGTGGCAAAAAAAATGTGGGTGCTACGGAAGAGATAACTAGCAAAGATGCTTCTGCGGAGACCAGGTGTGGAGAGGGGACCACCCGGCAGGGAGAGGTGTGGAGGCAGCATGGGAGATGCCCACCCGGCTGCTCTGCAACGGGACCTTCCCCGGTGCCTCCATTTCACCTCCTGCACCCACCCTGCCACAGCACTCACATATGCAAGAGAAGGCTTTGTGCTACTTGAGCAATGAGCAAACATGAATTAATGATAGCTTCTGATAAGCAGAATCTGTTGACATGAGGCTAAAGACAATTTGGACCGGGTTCTGCTCACCCCTGACTTGTGTTCACAGGGCTGAAGCACTCAGGCACTACATGGTGCTGGAGCACAGGAAGGCTGTGGGCATTTGCGGGCAGATACCAAGCCCACATCTGCATATTATTCCATATTTTGAAACTTTGGCTTGCAGACAATCTCTGTAACCTTATCTTTAGAGAAGTTAATTTAAAAAAAAAAAAATAGACTTAAGCCAAGGTAAAAAGCCAGGCTAGCACAAATCCCCTGCTCCAGCAGGCACTCGAGCCCTGCATGAATGGCTGAAGGTCAGAAGCAGTAAGCAATGTCTTTCCTCGTGACCCACCTGAATACATTGTGAAGGTGCACAAACCCAGATTTTCATTTCTGTGCTGCTCTGATCTGCGCTCACAGCTGGCATTAAAGGAGCAGCATTTTTCAGCACAGATGCACTGCTGTTGAAATATCAGCTATCAGCAGGTACCTGAGTTGTCTTAATCCTACCTAAATCCTAAATCAGCTGTGCCTACCTTTCTATTAATCTTCCTGTCCTATCAAATGGTGAATTTTCCCCAGCACCAGCCATTAGGTGAGACATGACAGATGGCAGCTTACTGTCCCCCCTCCAAGGTCCAGCGTCAAAAGGATTTTCAAAGAAATAAGACATTTAAAGTAGCACAAAAATTGCACATTTTAGAATAGTAAGAAAGCACTTTTGGCAGAATTCAATTGTTTTTAACTGTAAAACACCAAACAATAATGCTATGCCACAACCCATGGCAAAGAGCATCACTGGGGATCTGCTCAGGAAGAAAGGGCAGACAGAGGAGCGACGCAGCAACAGCTTCATTGGCAAATGACCACAGAGGTCAGAAACAGCAGGAGTTACGGATATCAGGAGAAACGAGCTCTTGCAGAATAAGACCCCCGCAGCCCGCTCCGTGTGCGGAGCAGCGTCCCCGCCACGGCTGGAGCTCACAGACCACCCTGCCTGGTCTCTCAGCATCCTTTGCACAAAGGTCGGATCCCACCCTAAGCCAACAAATCATGGTGTTACAGGCAGTCCCAAACACTTTTGCACTATTATACTTTAATGTCATATATACCATTACTTCCCAGTAACGCCTTTCCTACATGGTCTAATGGCTTGAAGATGCCATTCCTTCCGAGGGAAAGGAAAGCAGGCAGCAATTCGGACCTCTGTGCTACCCATCACTAGCTGCTTACCAGCAACCTGGGTCTCCACATTTCTGAGACAGATAAAGAGAACAGGACATTTTTCTCCTTGCTGATGCAGAGGGCAGCCCAAGACTGCACTGCACAGAAGCAGCTCTCAGCCATGGAAGCAAAAGACTCTGAGGACAGCACCCCATATATAGTTTCCTGCAAAGGCATTGCTGCACAGGAGTTAACTTTGTAAAAACATTTGTCTGAAATTAAAATATGCCAAGTGCACACAGGGCATCCCTGGCAGACCTGGGGCAAGGAGCAGACCTCCCAGTCGGCAGCCGCTCTCCCATCAATACTGCATGCCAGCAGGGAGACAAGGCTGTGGAGGCTCCTGCCAGGCCCAGCTAACGGGCGGTTTATTCATATTTGATCAGTCAAAGCAAGGACCTGTAGAAGGGAAAAGGCTGCTAGAGCAGAGAGGCATTTAGAGGGAGGAGAGCTAAAGGAGCTGAGCACCCTACACCAAATGGACTCCATTCCATGTTTTCCCTGAAAGCGGAGTTTTTCCAAGCACTGAAAGGGTGCCTTCAAAAGAACAGGTTTACTGTAAAGCACAGGAAAAGCAGACGCATCCAAGGTTCTTAAGGACAGTGGGGCAGGGGAAGGCTCAGTTAAATACATGGAGCATCTCTGGACTCCAAGTTGTGATCCAGGATGATGGATTAAGACAGCATGCACTGTTCCCACCTTCATCACTGGGCATAAATATCAGTCCATGTCAGCCATGTAAATCAGATTTAACTTTGGATTCACAGTTTTCTGTAAAACACCAGTGCCCAACTAGGGCACAGCAGCTAACAGGCATGCAGGAGGTGGAAACGTATGAATAAGCCCATGCCTTAAGGACCTGGATCACTGCAGAGAGACTCAGACACAGCTGTGACCCTGCCAGTGCCAACAGTGGGAAAGAGAAATAGAGAAATCCAGGGAGAGATGTCCCTGTCCCCGAGTCTATGTGGTCACTGCTGCCTGTGCATCCCCTCTCGGGAAGGGCAGAGACCACAGGCAGAGAGGTGCAGCAAACCAACGTGCTCGGGGTCACACAGAGAAGCCCGAGCACCGCAGCTTGCAGGCTTGTGCCCTCAGGCTGCTTCAGCATGAACCGCGTACGCAGCAGGCAATGAAACCCGCTCAGGCTGCAGCCCTGCACCGGCACAGGCATTACCCAGACAGATACCACTGCAAAGACGGCTGGACCAAGGAGTAGTCAAGTAGTCTCATCTTTTTTGACAAATAGCTTTCAGATTACTCATGCCTCCACCTCAGTTTCGCTGCTGGCAGCTTATCTCCCCCTACAGCCTCGCACTCCCAGCACACACAGCATCTCTCTCGCTAGTAGAACCCATCTTAAAGCAAGGCAGAGACGAGAGAGATCAGGCAGGTTCTCCTCACTGCAGAGCTCCTCTCCACCCGCGTCAGCGCCCACACGCGAGCCAGGCTCCAGCCTTCCACTGCTTTACCTTGGAGAGAAACTGTTGAGTGAAATACAGCTCCAGTGCCAATTCAGACAGACTACGGTGCTGAGCTAGATGTTGAAATAAAGTTTCAATTAAAAAAAAAAAAAAAAAAAGAGACCTGTTCAGCTTAAGAAGAAAGGATGAAAAGAAACAACAGAAAGACTGACCCCTGGGATAACAAACAGACAGTATTGCAATTAAATCCATGAGCTAAACGCGTGGTGTTTCTACCCCTGCAAGTCAGAGCAAGACAAGGCATCCGAGAGTTATCCTTTCACAGCAGTGGTTTGACATGTGCCAAATCTGAGGAGACGTAATCTTCTAAGCAGAGAGAGAAATGAAACCTCCACGTTGCGGGCAGGATGAGCAGCGCCTGCACGTATACCTGCGTGCGTGCACCCAGGAGCGCGAGCGGGAGAGACTGTGCAAGAGAGAATCGGCGTGTGGGAGAGTGAGAGGGGAGAAACACGCTTAACGCAGCCACACTTACAGCCTTTGGCTTGAAAGGAGGCTGGATCTCCTTGCGCTCCAGCTTATCCCAGTCGATGTAGCGGAAGAACGCATGCTCCTTGATGTCCCGCTCCCCTTCTGGGCCACATCCCAGTCGCTTGGCAGGGTGCTTGGTCATCAGCTTGGGGAGAGGAAGAGAAGAAACAGTCACTCACAGAGTGGTCAACTGCTTCACAAAACGTCCACTCTGTGAAGTCCCCAGGGTGCTGCAACGCCCGGCTGGGCAGCCTGCACCACGCGGCCGCTGCCCCAGGATGCCCCACATCAGTGCCCAGACCCCAAGAGGGGCTCCCATCTCCTCTCCTGGCTTTTGGTGCTCAAAGCAAAGGACAGAGGGAGAAGCTGGAGCAGCTCCGGGGACAGGGAAGGTTGTCAACTGCTTACAACAGCAGACTAAGCACATCACAGGTACATGAGCACTGGCTGGGATGAGCACATCCCCTTCTCCTCTGGGAATGAAACTGTTTCACCAAGAAATAATGTCAGGGTGTTGGCAGACCCCCCCACCACTGCAGTCTCACCAGCCTGCTACAACGGGGGGAGCAGCATGTGTGCAAAGCTGCTTAGCAGTCTGCTTGGTAGCAAACTTCTCAGCATCTGCATAACTAATTTTAAAGGCCACTGCCCATTTAAGATGAACAATCTGCTCTCAGAAACTTTCATTAGCCCTAGAAGCAGACCCTTCACTTCTCTGGAGCCGCGGCAGCACAGACGAGAGGCGTATTTCTACTCAAAGAGTCAATTTGGAGAAAAAAAGCGCAAACAGTCCATTAATGTTGTTTGTCATCTAAACTTCTCCTCTTCACTGCCTCAATAAGAAAAGTAAAATGGGCCACAGGAATTGAGGGCGGCTGTACAAACATTAATATCCTGGGGGCATTGTTTGAGCTGTGTTCAGAGATCAGATGGAGATTCCAGAGATCTGTAAGACATTGATAAGTGCGGAGAATATGAGCTGTACGCCTGCAACAAAAGGACTACTTTATTAAAAGCAGGGCAGTTAAAACTGATGCCAGAGCTGTGCAGAGGTTGCAGCAAGCCTGACTCCATCTCCTGGGGCTGTGGGTCTGCAAGAGACCTCCACTGCCCTCCCGTGGGCCCCCGAGAGGGGACAGTGCACCCGCGGCTCTGCAGGGAGGCACTAACACTCCGAGAAACCTCCCCACCTTTCTGTTGAGACTGACCCACTCTCGAAATAAAAGTTTTTTATAAGCAAGCATCTTCTGACAAAAAAACCCCACATCTGCCCAAGCACCCAGGTGGCAGGCAGCCCACCGTGCCACGGGGAGCTGATGAGCCCCCACCAGGTCCTGCGTCCAGGCAGAGGTCCTCTGCCCCAAGGTGTAAGTGTTTTGACACAAATCAGCCCTGCCATCCATGATTGCACAAAACAAACTTGTTCAGGGAAGCTGATCTTTAAAAGTAATGCTACAACAGGGAGCTGAAAGCAAGGAAAAGCCTGCAAGAAAAGAAAAACCCCTAAAAGAAAAAAAAAAAAACCACCAAACCAACAAACGTGAAGTAAGAGTGGAGCCACTAACCACTCTGCTAGCAAATAGCCCTACATCCATGGCCAGCCGGTTGCGAAGGCAACCTGCAGCCGAAAGACTGATGGAGCCAGGCTTCCTTGAACCAGCGTCACCCCCTGGAAAGCCCATCTGCAAACAGCAAGGGCCCACCAGCCTTCGCAAGCTGGACAAGTGATTTTCCAGATGGTGAGATCTGCCTCTCCTCAGGGCAAGGACGTGACTGGCATCAGCATCAGTCTTGCAGAGCCCATCCCCGTGCGAGGAGTCCCACTGGAGCTGCTGCTGGTGGGCTGGAGAGGGAGGGCCGTGGGGGTGCGAGGTGGCAGTAAAAACAAAAGCAAGATTTTTTTTCTAACTCATGTTTTACTTTTTTTTGTAAATAATACAGTTTCCCTCGGTATTGCAGCATGCCGCCCTTTACAAAAAAAACCAAACCCCAGCGTAAGAAGCCTGGCAAGGTGGAAGATGTTATGTGTCTTGGTCTCTTGAATGAGCGTGGCAGCAGCGTGGACAAGCAGGCAGGGCTGGATCCAGCGCCGCTGTCCCTGCCAGGAGAGGGCAGCGGTGCCACCAGGTGCTGCTGGCAGCGCGCGGGCAGGTGGCCCTGGCAGGCAGGCAGGCAGCCCCACCGCGGGCTTACGTGCTGCCAAGGCAGCACAGCGAGGTGGGCAACCCGCCAGCCCCTCGGTGCCGCTGGGCAGATTTCACATCACCCTCGGCACACGGACAGGCATCTGTCTACTCCGGCTGTGGTCTGTCTGCCCCGGCAGCAGGCAGGGCGATGTTGTGCCCCGCTGAACCTCGCCACCCCTCGGCTTTCACTACATCCACTTCAAGCTGACTCGGGTTCAGCTAAACAAGAGGATCTTTGCATCTCCTTGGCAGGCTCCGGACAGCATCCTGACAATTCAATTGGGTCCCACTTAGCTGTGCTAAAGCAGGAGAATAAAAAGCATCCTGTGACTCAATAAGGTTTTCCTAAAGCAAGTCCCTGACAACAATGCGAGAGCCTGAAATGTGCTAATAAACTGATTTGGTGATTTGGCTGTCATGTCAAAGAGCTTAGTTTGCTTTCAGCAAACATGAAAAGAAATCTGTTTGTGGGTCTTTTCTGTTAAGTGCTGATCCTGAACACACTGACACGCCTCTAGCTTTTACTGACAGAGATCATTTGGGACAAGGAGGGAAAGCAGGTCTGTGCCGCCAGGATCTGTGCCTCTGTCGACACTAAAGCTCGCAGATGCCTGTGCATAAAATTCAGCTGTGAAAGCATCTGACGGTGGGAGCTGGACAGATGTGTGCTCGCTCACCTGCAACGGAGGCGTTAGGAAGGGGGTAGGCTGCAGCCCTGTGGAGGATTTGAAGGTCAGCAGTGCTGGTGGGCAGGCAGCTCGCTGCCCTGTCCCCATGCACCCCGGTCCGCTTCCCGGCTCCGGCTCCCTCCTGGAGGCCAGCAAAGCTGCTGAGGCTGCGCCACGCCGGGGCTCCCCCCGAGCAGACCCTCCGCTGTGGGAGAGCGATTCCCCCAGGTGCACCCAGTGAAAACGTCTACAACTCCGCTCGCATCTGCTGAGCCTCAGCCGCCACGCTGCCCTGCACACGCTTCCTACACCCGCCCCACTAAATCCAGTCCATGCTCTTTTACTAATTAGATTTTCCAGTCAAAGCCCAGGTTCGTACCTGCCGCATTACGCTGGAAACTTTTACATACACCCACCCCCAAATTGAAGTGTCATGGTTAAACCCCCCGCTTCCTCAGTGTAACACAAATGCACACCAAATTCAGAGCAGCTCAACCAACTAATGAATTGTAAAAGATTTTCTACTTCATGTACCTGCCTGTAAAGCTGTACTACAGTGCAGTTATTCAGTATTTTCAATATATGCATCCAGAAATTAAATTTTCTTATTTTCCTATTGTGCTTTTATGCATGTGAGCATGAAGGCACCATCTGTTATTGATATATAGGACCCCATCAACATGCAGACTGATTCTCCTGGCTCACATAGGATAATTATTTAGTTTTGTTTGTATTAAACAGGAAGAGGTTGATTTAATCCCATACTAACGCAGTGAAAACCCTTCAGGCTTCTGCAGGTAAGGAAGGATGCTTTAGACCAAATCACCTGTAATGGTACATCTGATGTGTGGAGTTCAGATACAGGAAAGTCCAAGTCTGGACTCAACTGCTTTGCTAAACTGCAGCTTTATTTTTTGTCTCTGGAAGGCAAGCGGGTGCTGCATGTTCATGGGCTTCATTTAGCAGCAGCATGTTTTGCACCAAGGGGCAAAGCTGATCCAAATGATCTTTGTCCACATTTGATGAGACCACAGGGCTTACGGGCAGCAGCCACCACCAGGACCTTCCCATCAGGGCACCGCTCCCTCTGCCATCCCGGCACACAGCCTGGGCACGCTCCTGCTCAGCACAGCCGTGCCACTGTGGCAGCACATCCCAGCCCCATCCCAACCGCAGCCCGGCGTTTCAGCCGGAGTCAGAGGCAGCAAACCCCTCTGCAGCCAGCAGTGCCCGCCACGCGCCGCCCCAAAACGCTCCCACCTTCCAGCCGCCCTTTGCATACCCACAGCCACCGAGACACGGGCACACCCACTCCTCCGAGAGGGCTGCAGCGCCGCGCTAAGCAGCTATTATGAGCTTTTCCCAGGCAGCACCACCAGTGGAAAGACCACTCAAAATACCTGTAAACTTTACTGCGGAAAACATGTCATTTTATGCCTTTGCTACCAGGCAGAGATTAAAGAGGGAGCTGATATTCGCAGGCAATCTGTTCACCTGGAAAGGGCTGCTTTGCTCAGGCACAGTCAAATCCCTCCATATGGGACAGAAAACGGGTGACGGTCTGTGCCAGTGCCTGTGTGCATGCACACGCACATCGCTCCACGGGTCTGAAACGGGCTCCTGATAACCAAACCAGAGCTCAAGAGAGCAAAGCTAAGCTACCTGCACCACGGAAACAGCAGCTCCGACATCAGCCTTCGGAAAAAAATCCAAGTTGACAGCAGAGGAGGGAAATGCTCCATTTGATCTGCTAATTGATGCTGACTGTCGAGTCAAGGAGCTGTGTTCTGGTTAACTCTCCATTTTGCTTCCCAGCCAACTATCTCTGATTAACACTTGTTTCTTGGCTCAGGCCGATACAAGGCTTTCAGGATCAAATGCTTTTCATCTCCGAGCTGTGCAACAGTAAGTGATGACTGGCACCGGCATGCCGGAGTGAAACCGCGTGGGAACAACAAAATTGTTTTGGAGAGCACGTAAGTGAAATACCAAACCCTTCATGTTGAGGAGTAGAGCCTTCTCCAATTGCTTGTTCTCTGGACTGACATAAGCCTGGTTTTGTGCCCTCCTGGAAGACCTACCACATACCACCACAAACAGCAGGGCTCCAATGCCCCTGTGGTTAATTGAGACATAGTTTACTGTATTCCAGAGGAAAATGTAAATACTTTGTTTCCACTTTACTGACAGTTTGTAAATACTGCACATATTTTTAATTAAACTTTCTGGTGTAGCAGTTTGGTGGCGGCAAAGAATGTCAGGAGTTTTTGTGCACTTCCCTGAAACAACAGTTGTACAAGGGGAACCACCACTTGGCTGCAAAAAAAAAATACAAGAATTTATAAAGAACCAAGCTCTCCATGCGTGGCTAAATGTCCTCCCATGCAGCCTCACATTTCCAAAAGCGAGAAAAGCCATTACAGCTACACCCAGCAGACGTTTCAGTCATGGTCTCTTCTTGTCTATTTACAGCATTCACATTTTGACTGATGCAACAGCAAACAAAGCCGACAGTGAGATTCATCCCTGTTCCAGCCCCCGCTCCCCCGAAAGCACCGTTCCCTCGGGCACCCTGGGGATAACGATGCTCAGCATCATGAAGCATCTTCCCTCCCTCCCGCCAGTCAGGGACACAGGGGACCTTCCCCTTATGTCCCAACCAACAACAGCAAGAGGAACGAGAGAGGGTGAGAAAGTTGGTGGAAACTCCCCCTTTCATCACCAGTGTGGTTTCTGAATTAAGGACTCGATTTTACTACATTCTGCTGAAGGTGAGTGCCAGATGGCCCAGACAGCATCCCCTCCCTGTGCCCCGCTCCAGGCGGGGAACACCTGCAGCAGCTTTTCCCCATGGGACAAGTGAATACTCCTCTAACACCAGCTCTGAATCCCGGCAACACTGGAAAGAGGCTTTGAAATGCCGCAGTGGGAGCGTTAAGTGCAAGATGTGTCATTTGTAGATAGAAACACTATTTTGAGATATAGAACATTCAGATATTTTAAATATTAACTATTAAAAGCAAACATATTTTAAGCTCCTACACAAACACTTATTTATAGCACTGTTTGACACTGGCTGGCTGAGATGAGGCTCAGTCCCAAGCAATAACCATATGCATAGCATCAGGACCTAGCCAGCCTTTATTCATCACTACCCAAACTAATTCAGACTGCACTTAAGTCTTGCCTAGGCCCAGTCCTTAGAGAGCTCAGGACACTGGGCAATGCAGAGCTTCACTGCAATTTAAGAGATATGATAATGAAAATACTGCTCTGACCCAACACAGACACACACCAGCACTGAACTTCATGTGCCCCTAAAGGGAGACTCATCATTGCTAAATGGAAACCTCTGCAGGATGAAGGCTTTGTATCTGATCTCAGGAAAACTATTTAGAAATCTCATTCATTTTCTCTAGGCATAATTTTTCTTTTCAGGCAAAGATGCATAAAGCTCCCCTGTTGTCACCTAATGGGGAGGAGGGTCTCTGGGCAGATGCCCTCAGCTCCCACATCCCATCCAACACTCCAGTTTTCTCCTGACCTTCACCTGAGCAAAGACAGGCCAGCCCTCAAGTCCTCCCTGTGTTTCTGCTCAGTGTAGCGGAAGGGCACAGAAAGGATCTAGCTGTTATTTTTAATTGTTTTTAGTACACATACACAAAGTAGCACAAGTTGTGGTTCTAGGAGCAGAGAGCAGGGGCACCAGAACACAACTGAGTTTTGTCAGATCCCCCTTGTGCTGGGAGCCTGCAGCTTGGACCAGGGCAAGGAGGGCAAGGAGGGCAAGGAGGGCAAGGAGGGCAAGGAGGGCAAGGAGGGCAAGGAGGGCAAGGAGGGCAAGGAGGGCAAGGAGGGGCTTGGGCCCCCTGTGCGCAGACAGCGCTGTGCCCACCAGCTGCCCTTCTCCCTCCTCCCAGAAACCGAAGGCCAGCCCTTACCCCTTTGCAGATTGCCACTGCCTCCTTGGACATGGACTTGGGGTAGGCTACGTTGTGCTCCATGATGGACTGGAAGAGCTCATCTTCATCTTCTCCCTCAAAGGGAGCCTAGAGCAAAGCAAACAGAGGTTCAGCGGCATTTCTTCATCTTTGAGCTTCCATTTGCTGCTGCGATCCTCAGCCATGGAACCAGCCCCGGCTGTGCTGCGTGGTGACTCATGTCTCAGCCTTGCAGTCCCCGGGGCTGCATCCACGGCTTCATCTCCAGCACCGAGGAGATGGCCTCCCGCCGTGTGCCAGCAACAAAACAAATTACACGTCAGCATATGCTCACAATGGAGTTTAACACAATCCCATAGGAATCAATTAAAATTCAATTACCTGGCCAGCTAACATTTCATAGAGCAGGACTCCAAATGCCCACCAATCCACGGACTTCCCATAGGGCTGATAAGCAATTATCTGAAAACAACACAAACAGCAGGATTACACTCCCATTTTTAACCTGTTGGCACAATGCAAACTAATTTCAAGCTGTAGTCCAGGTCAAAAGGACAAGGTTATTTACTGAGACACCAGTCCCTGAATAGTGGGAAATTGCAATTATAAACAGAACACACGATAGGCAAAGGGTTCAGTAACTTTAAAAAAAATCATCAGCCTTCAAATATGCACTAAATATTAGAAAAAACCAGTAAAATTCACTGTGATTTCAGACAGATTCATTCCGATTCAGATGAAACTTTAGCATGTTTGTTGTGCTCCTGCAGACTCATCGCAGCCAGGTGCCTCGGAGCAGGAGCAGCAGCCGTTCCTGCTTCCCCTTGATGCACTTTGGGATTTTTTTTCCACTGACTTCAGCGCAGTTGGTTTGAAATAACAACACAGAGTTTGGTCCTCCGTGGAGGGTATGTGGCCCTTTAAAACAGACTCACAGCATATGGGTAGTCAAAACCCTCTGCATTCCAGGCTGCCAGTTTGCTTTCTAGTATTTATTGCAGAACATACCTCACAAAATAACGTAGTAACCAATGGCCCTATCCTTACCTGAGCAGTGTGGTTGTTTTGGAGTTAGGATATAACTTCAGGATTTGGGGTTTTTTTCTTAATTGAAAAATATCAACATTATTTTGGATAAGGCACCAAAACATGAATTTTTGTATTTTTCCATGATTTACTCTGGAAAATCTGAAATACCTTAAATTTCATAACCATACAACCCTGCAGCAAAGCCACCCAGCTAGCCTGCCTCCGCAGCGCAGGCGACCTCACCCGTGTGTGCCGGTGGTTTGCGGTACCTACAGCTGAGCCAGTGAGGGGGTCAGTCCCTCGCTAACAAGACCCCACATACAAACAAGACAAACAGCTGGCAGAGAAACAGACCCAGCCCTGGGAAAGCCCCGCGGCACCTTCCCACGGCACCTCTGCTGCTCGGCTCTCCGTGTCCCTCGGCCAGGTGCACAGCAAGACGCTGGGTCCGCACCCTTGGCGGAGGGCTGCTGCCAGAAGCCAGCCTCCTCCTTCCTTCCCTTCAGCACGGGGGGTCCCTCCACCTCCAGCACCCCGGGCTGCAGCAGGAGGCTGCAGCCACACCTATAGAGAAGCAGTGACAGGTCCAATCCAGGGACTGCAGAAGAAGCCGGGCTCCCACAGGCACCCTTCTACTTTGAAGGGTCTTTCAAGCTCTGGTTTATTTGCTGGGTTGCTGTTGCTGGGCGTCATTTCAGCGTTTGGGGTTTGACAGGCCTTGGGCTTTGCCATCTGTTACTTAATGCAAAACAATTACTCAATTTATTCATCCTAATTACAGAATTCTATTCTGCAAATATTCCTATACTTGAGTACAAATGCAAATTGTATGCTAATCACAGGAGAATGTACACAGCAATCCAGCCCTAGGGGTCTGCTCCTGCCTTGCCACCCCTGCTCGGGAGAGCAAGGCTCCAGTCCCGCAGCTCTGTGGCTGCGCAATCTCAAAAGTCCTCATGTTCAGCCACCCCTGTCCTTGCAAAAGACCTCTGCAATGTCCAACAGGATTTGACCAGGAGGTATGTCAAGATGCAGGTCAGGTGCTGCCACCCCACCCAAAAAGAGACAAGTTCCATCCTGCGAAAGCATCAGCACCGAGCCACGATTAGAGAACAAGACTGATACCAATCTTCTCTTCTGTTCTGGTCCTGGTCCAGCCACATGTCCAAACGCGGTGACACGACTCTGAGTGCCTTGACAGCGTCCTGCGGTCAGGCCTGACCCTTCCCACTGAGATCAGACATTAAGTTTCAGCTCTGAAATTCCTCGACCGAGTGCACTTGAAGTTCCTCCTACTTGTTCTTTAGATGAGTTACGGGTGCTCTGGGAAATTTAGGTGTGAACTGTTCACACCATAAAAGGCCTTTAAAAGAAAATAGTACTTAGAAGAAATCCTTGTAGAAAAGCAGTGTCTGTAAATTGAAGTCGCCGAGTGCACATTAGGGAAGGTCAAAACCCAACAGCTGAAGAACACGTTTTGTTCAGAGGAGATCATACACGCCGGATCATTTGCACTCAGTGCCTGTCACCTTGGCACGCAGAGCTGTATCTTAGAACAGAAAAAGCCCTAAAAATGGGTCAAGCAAATCACAGGACATTTTTACCCTGAAGACATGTTGGCTTGAGAACATTGCGGCTTCCTAACGGGAGGAAGCACGGTCCAGCAGAAGGGCCCTGGCGTGGAGCTACACGCAGGGACCCCGGCTCTGCCGCAGGCTTGGCCACCCAGCAGGAGACCACGCCAGAACTGTGTACCCCCTATTTCTATTGACAAAGTAGGGGATGTGTATATACACTCTTTTGAGACTCACTGGCAGCAGGCTTTAACACCATTCCGGGGTACTGTAGTGATTTGCACCTTAATTTCCGATCTTCTGTTTTTCTTTTGGAAAAAAAAACCCAGAGCAAGCAGAAGAAAATAAGAGTTTAAGTGATAATGCTCAGGCAAATACCAAGAGAGCTGGTCATTTGTCCTGCTTTGAAAGAGTATTAATCACACACAGCAACTGAGCTATGTACCAACAGGTACATATTAATCTTGGTAGGATGAGGATATGTAATACACATTTGAACGGGTAATTAAAAACCTCTCTGGCTGCAGCAAAACACAATGTAGTTCAGCACACAAGCACATCTAACTATGTCCTAGCAAAGAGAATCTCTTCCTCTAAAATATTTAAATGAATAAATATTAATCTCATCATTGAAAATTCCGCAGAGTGAGAAGATTTTAGAGGGATATTTTTATGTTAAGGGAACAGGCATTTGGAAATAATTACCTACCTGAATTTCACATGTCTGACATTAAATTGCACCCATCCAGCACTTCATGTAAGTGTCATATATGACTCCATCACATAAGTAATAACCAAACGCAAAATAATTTTGGAGCGATCTAGAGCTGTATATAGGGAGCCCCTCCTCAACAGGCGCACAGCCCTTTGCTGCAAGTAGCAAGCTGGAGAGATCTAAAGATTTCCACTTCACATGGAAATATTATCCACTGATAATTCCATTTTTCCCCACCGGTCACATTGTGCTGGAAGCGGCTGTCACACGCAGAGAGAGGCAAAGCCAAGCTCCTAGGCTCACCTTTCCCAGGAGCACGGGAGTGTGCGAGGAGCAGCCCTTGGTGGGTTTGAGCATGCCAAGGATCAGACAGGCACAGGGACGCCCATGGCACAGACATGGGAAAAACACCCAGAGAGGGAAAACACACTGCAGGGAGAACAGCACAGAGGATTTTCTGTACTTTGAGGCAGAAGCAGGGCACACAGCCAAACGAAGAGGCAAATCCAGCATTGCTGCTTTGTTAAAGACAGCTGTAGCCTTTGGGGGGATGGACAGTGCTGGGGGGGATGAACTTCCCAGGCTGACGGTGAATTCACTCATGTCCCTGTTTCAATCAGAAAGCTGCCCAAAGCAAAGTCATCCCATAGAAAAGAGCATCAGACAGGCTGCTGAAACACGTATGGAGCATCTATTGCCTTTCTCTACCTCCTACCTCAGGTGCAATGTAGTCTGGAGTGCCACAGAAGGTCTTGGTAGTCACCCCGTCCCAGATGTTCTCCTTGCACATGCCGAAGTCTGCAATCTTTATGTGCCCCTCGCTATCCAGCATCACGTTGTCCAGCTTTAGGTCTCTACAAAGAGAAAGCAAAACAATGACACAAAAGACGACATGCGAAGCCACCCAGCAAAGACACAAGTTTCCTGACTCCAGGGGCTCTCCAGCGAGTGAGCTCTGGCTTCATCTCACACCCAGACTCTTTGTAGGATGATGTTCGGGGAAATGAGTAAAAATAAGTCAGAGATCTGTCAGGATGAAGCGTTTATTTTACTTTTAACCCACAGGAACGCCATGCTGGGCAAATCGCTTTTAAATGTACGACAGAAAACACTCTCATCCAGCAGGGAGACAGATTTAATAGATTTTTTCTTTTTTTTTGCGCCTATGAAAATCAAAGTGTACTTAAAGCTCACCCGCAATGAAGAAGTACCTACTCAGCAGAAGTCCCTGCATCACCTATGCACATGAAAATACAAATCAACCGTGTTTCTCTCTGATCCTTGTCCACAGAATATCTGTTAGTTATATCCAGCCCTGCAGGAGATTTGCTCTTTAGCACAAACTGTAGAGACAGTTTCAGCTGTAGAGGTCCCGATCTGACTCCCGGCCCTGACAGGCCCCTCCGGAGGTGGGTGCTCCAGCCTGAAGGACAGTTTGGCAGCAAACACTCAGTATTTCAGGTGCAATTACTACCTTATCAGCCATGTAACTACCACACAGTTGTGTGATCTGTGCCATTCCTGGCTTATGTTCTATACAGTAAAGCATTACTCAAAGGTCTTCATTTCAATATTGGAGCATGTCTGCAAGATTTCCCTTGCCCAAAGGCAACATTAAGGGACAAGGCAGGTGACAGAGCAGCACACTGGTGCAGGCACAAGGTGTGCCCTGCCTGCCCATCGGCTCAGCTGGCCAGGTCCCTGCAGCTCTGCCCAGCCACACACCTCATCTGCAGTTGAAGATCAAATGCACATCGCACATCCCAGAGCTGGCGTGAAGGGCACACCATGTTTGTGTGAGCCCTCTTCTTAGAGACCCCCCACTGAAATACTCCATTGGGAACAGCCTGCTCAGCAGAGCTGTGGGGCTGCACAGTGCATGAGGCTTCATTTTGTTAAGTGAGAAGCCAATAAACGGAACAGCATAATTTACAACTTCTTGCTGGTTTTTAAGATTGTTTTTTCCAATTACTGTGTCAGTGCTCAGAACCCTGATGGGCCAAAGGCAGACGGACAGAAGTCTGGATTCAGAGGAAGGGAGGAAGGGAGGAAGGGGCACTGGGGACCAGCAGACCTAGAATCTCTGTGCAGCATCTGAGAGCAAAAAAAAACATCCTTCACGTCAGGTTTGTTCCACTTCTTTCATCTTCGGAACAGTCTTCAGCATCTCATAACTTCAGTTGCACAGCCGGCATTTCTTTTTGCAAAGCAGTTAATGGTATCTGACACTCATTAGGATGCTCTGCTCTACCTTGGGCTCTGCGAATACTCCCGAGCAGGGAAGAGCAGGGGTACACTAGTTTCAGTGCTTAACCAGCAGCCTCAGAGCCCAGTCCGGCACTTGGCAGTAACCTAGCTAACTCTGGATGCTATAATCATATTGTGAATGGAAAAGAACTTTTACTGTCTGAACCAGAAGTGACAGACTTGCACTGCACATCTCAGAATAAGCTATTCATAAGCACCTACTCTACTGTTAATGGTAAGAAAATAGTGCCCTGCAGCAAAATACGTGGCTCAGAACTGGTCCATCCTGCCAGTGAGCATTTGTGTCGTATGGAGAGAAACGCATGAAACAGAGGCAAGAGAGGAACCAAAGCTGCCTTCCTATAAAATGGGGACAAAGACAAGAACCTTCTCAAAAACCAGTGACAGTACGAGGCTCCCAGCTCCATTTCGGGTGTGCGCACCCGACAGGCAGCTGCCAGACCCCATCTGTGGCCCTCGCAGGGAGGAAAGCCCTGCGGCTGGTCGCTGTACCGCAGAGGCGGCAGCGGGGCTGCAGCAGCCCTGCAGAGCATCGCGGTCGTTACATCGCTCTGGCTGTGGCGGGGGTTCTGGGGGGAAGAGAGGAAGGAGGAACTCGCTCACCTACCGATAAATGATGCCTTTGCTCTGCAGGAAGAAGAGGCCGATGGCTATTTCTGCTGCGTAGAATCTGAAATGGAATATTTAAAAGGAAGACTGATAATTAAAGGAGATGAATCAAAATAAAAACCTTTCAAATCCAATCATACTAAATGAAACGCATTGGGCATACATGACCAAAGGATAAAGACAGCCACAACTTAAAAATACCAGACAAGTATCACACGAGAATGACACAACCCACCCTCCACTCGTATCGGGTAGGGATGCGATCAGGTTGCTGTGGGCTAGCAGGGGGCTGTCACTTCTTGTTACACAAATTCTCATTAAGCAAGAGCTGGGATCTACAGCTGTTCGTTACTGTGTGCTGGCAATGCGGCTTGCAAAGTTATCTGTCATCTCGGGGAGGCTGAGGAGATAACATGCACTGCCATCGCTTTCTTTAAAGAATAATCTGGGTCTCAGAGGACTCTGCCAGAGTGCAAAACACCGGTTCAAACCCAGCCGGGCTCTGCTCACTGTTTGTGTTTTTTACTTAAGCATATGAAGGCTTTCACAAGCACATTTTGCTCTGTCCAGGTTACAGGGAGCAGGAGCCAAAAGCCACCAGTTAACACTCGGGTTGGCAACCCCACTAGGAGAGTCAAAGACCCAACATGCCTTGTATGTCCTGGGGAAGGGCACGGGCAGGATAGAGGCATGCTGGCAGCATGGCGGGCTGGGGGCTCACCAGCTGCTGCCGGTGTCTCCCAGGAAGCTTCCAAACCTCCCTGCCTGGTGCTTTTATGAAGGTCAATTATTTACCTATCAACAAGTGCAATGTATCCCAAAGATGAGCTGGAGGCACCAGCATCCTTGGCACCAGGCAAAGAATCATCCTGAACCTTCCAATTCCTGCTTCCTGCTGTCCTTCCTTTCCCTTCCCTTTCTGCCCAGGACTTGCACCACAAAAGCCTGTGCCTTGGACTATATTTCCAGCTATGTGACAAAGGTACATCAAATACGTACCCTGAAGCTGCCAAACTAGGGCTACTGAACTTACACAGCATGTGGCTCTTTAAACCTCCCAACCTGCTGGATCTGGTACATTAAGTCCCCACCATTCACGTATTCCATCACAAAATACAAGCGATCCTAAAGGAAAAAAGCAAACAATTAGCAGCAGAATTATTAGAGCAGGTAATCTGCAGAGGTCAGAAGGACGGACCATGGCAACTGACAGCTCCAGCCTGCATTTTTCATGGCAATACAGTTATCACCATTGCCCTCCCCAAGGGGTGCAGATGGAGCTCGTGTTCATATGGAGCCCATAAGACACGTGTACTAATTTCTTTCCAACACTCCAGACTTAAGCTTTGCACCACTGCAGATAGATCCGATGGAGAAGGCAAGTAAAGGAATTCCTAAAACAAAGGGTTTTCACTTCCCATTAATAAATTTGCTCTCATTCTTCACTGAGCCCATTTTGCAGGGTGTTTGATCAGACAGCTCCTTGCTGGTATTTCCCCAGGCAGCGCACGGCTTCAATTAAGAGATGCACAAGAGACGTGAGCAGCTCCTATGGGGACCAGCCTCCGTGCGCAGGCAGTGACCAGTAGGATTTGGCCAAGCACCAGGAGGGACGTGCGACATTCCCAGCTCACCAGCCTCACCCTCTCCCTGGGAGCTGCCTGCGGCAGTGCCATGGACCCCCGTGCCTGCAGGGGACCCAGCAGCCCCCAGCCAAGCCAGGGAGGCAGGAGGAGGCTGCAGAGCCCCCCGCCTCCCCGCAGCCTCAGCACAGCCCTCTCCTCACTCCTCCCAGCCTGGTCTGAGGGTGCACTTAATGTTCACACATGTTTAATTAATTAATCGTTAAGAGCAGAACAAACAGGTCAATCAGTGACTTTGAAGGAATTAAAATACTTGCTAGTTAGTAGGTGCAATCACAGCCACTATAAGCACACACTGACTTTGCCTCTAATGTGTAATACGCACTTTGCTTTCATTAATTAAGACTCTCCAGATTAAAGCACCCCTCCTCTTCCGCAGTGTGGCAGCCACATAGCTGCAGACCTAAGAAATTTCCAAGTAAGCTTCTGAAGCGATGTGTACCGTCCCCAGGGAAAGCCAAGCCGTGTGGAGGGGCAGGCTCGGGCTTGCACCATGCACTGCCCTGGAGCCGCAGCGACTGCAGTGAGCTGGTGAGGGTCTTGTACACACAGCACAGCGCCTGCCTTCATTGCTAGCATTAGTCCTGCTAGATGTAAGCCCAGTCCTCTACAGATTGCTAGAAATTTGAGAAAGTATGGGCCATGATCAAGCCCGAGGAGAGCTACAAGGCAAGAAACAAGATCCGAGCATTCCCACAAAGCTCAGAACTGTGGATTAATAAAATAAAAGCAGCGGGATCTTACCATGCCACATCCCGAACTGAGCTCTAGCATGAGCTCTGCAAGTCCTGGGAGACACAAGATTTGGGCAAGCAGGAGCTCCTCACCAGTGACACCTTCACCTTGGGGAATCTGTGTCCCTGAAACGCCACTTTCCTCTGATGTTTCACAGCTCTTTTCTTTAATGGGAAATGGCTGAGAAGAAAATCGTGCAAGACTGCCAAAACCACCAACCTGAACCTGCCAAGAGCGCAGGACGTTTCTCAGGGAGGGAACAGCGACGGCTCTGGACCACCGGAGTGAATGCAGGAGGGGGACACAGCCTGCCATCTGAGTGGATCTTCCCTGCCAGCAGGCATCTGTGCTCCAGCCTGTGCACGTGTTGGTTATGGATGAGAACAGCAAAGCGCTGCGTAACATCAGGCCTGAGTCACCTTTCTTACAACAAGCAACTTTCTACAGCCTTCAAAAACCCATCGTGGGGCCTCGACACACAGGAGCCCAAAGACATCCGTGGGCTCACCCAGCCCCACACCACGGAAGGAGAGACACAAAGGCTGGAGCACCGCGAGAGCTTCAGATTGGCAATATTACATAATAATTCATAATATTTCCTGTTCTTCATTTCCTCCTTAAATAAACCTTGCCCTGCTTTTAACACAGTAAGGACAAGGAGCCCAGAAGATATGCAAATGTGAGCATTACCATAATAAGGGCTGCCGAGTAACTCGGGTAATCAGTTCTTCCACCCCAGGTGCAGCACAGCCTGGTGATGCACAGCCCACCCTGACAGCGGGGCGGCCTCAAAGGTCATTAAATACGGTAACAAAGGGGCAATCAGGCTATGTAAAACATGCGGCACTGATGGGACAGAAAAGAGATTTCGGCGTATCAGATGACTGGGAATTTCGGCACATACCCCTCTGTAAACGACTGCCTCTGCCAAGGCGTCAATCCAGTTCAGCAGTAAGGCACAGGGCAGGCAAAGTCACCTTCAGCAGCCACTGTCACGCTAGTCATCCTGTGACAGTAACTGGAAAGGAAAGCAATATTGTGCTCATTTGCAGCTGTTTCCTAAATATATCGATCAACTTCAAGAAGGAAGAATATTAAAAAGATGGTCTCTTGAAACAGCCAGCTGAGGTCTAAAAGCAGAATTTGAGCTTTCCTCATTTGGGTGGAGAAGAGAATTCTGGTGCTTCAGAGAAAAAAATGTCATGAATAAAGCAGCCAGATGGCTGGCCAGCCTACAGGCTGGAAGAGAGGGATGGATACAGAAAGCTGTCCTGGCTCTTGTCTGTGGGAGAAAAGGATGGGGTCTATCCAAGTCTGGAGCATCCGAACTCACTGAGCAACAGCGATTTACAGATACATAAATACCCCCTGCAGAGACTTGCATGAAGCTAGTAAAACATGCACACCCCTTTCCTTGGGCTGCCAAGGCGAAACTGCCAGGGCTCCTTCCAATGCCCTCCTCCTCCTAATTAACCACTCCTTAGGTCCTCCTCCTGCCTGACTCCCCACTGTGAACACAAGTCAGAGCCAGGACAACAGCCGAGTTCCCCATCCACCCGTTATTTATCATTTCTCAGTGTCACTGCCACTGCTGTGCCCTTCGCTGCTGAGCCCCAAAGGGAAGGGAGGTCATCAGCGAAGGCACGGCTCACCCGGGGACACCAGACTCGCCCCCTGCTCCCGGGAGCCCAGGCTCAGACCCAGGACCTTTTTGGGGCACAGCACCCCAAGATCCCTCAGTCAGAACAGCATGGGGCTTCTCTTGTCCTTCAGACTCAGGCAGGAGCTCTCTCATTGCTCATCTTCACTTACTCTTTAAAACGCAGTTTTAGGGCTTTTCTCTCTCCCACCAGTCGCTGAACTAACAGCCCCGGCGGCGAAGTGCGCTCCGGACTGTGCTCCCAGAAATCAGTGTGCATTGTGCCAGCATTTGATAATACACCCTGCTATACATTTTGATTACATTACAAATACGATTACTATTAAGCTACTATAGGTCTGCCAGGAATAATCCTGCGCTGACTCACTTCAGATGCCAGAGAGATGCTGTGTGAAATAGCTTCTCCTGCCACATTTTGATTACTGTGCTGCAAAGCCGGTCCGCAGACTTTAAATACAGTGAATGTGTTTGGTAAATGAAATTTCTGGGATAATATTAAAATGTAATCCTCCTGGATAGCATTGTCATCGTTCTAAAGGACTCTGCTGATTCCCTCTCCCTGCTCCCGCTGACACGTACCTGGACATTTTCATTCACAGGTTGCTCGACGGCTGGTCAGAGACTGTTTTAAAGGTCCCCCGTCCCCTTCCCCACTCCCCCTCCCCACTTCCGATTTGTACAAACTCAATCACATGCCCGTTTCAAACTGAATTTCCTGCAGTTTGTATTAGGTTTCACTATCTACTCCAATTTTTGATCAAAAGAATGAATCCTGAGAAAAAGCGCAGCACTTTGCTATCGAATCATAACAGACATCACGGGCCGGGGGGCCACCTGAGGGGTCGGGAAATCACATCTAACACCATCAACAGCTCCCTGATGAAAAAATCTCGGGGATGTAGATATTCTCCATTACAGCCTCCAGTTTAAGACGCATACAATTTGTTCATGGAGGCATTTTTGCAAGCACATTGGACAAATTGCGAGGTTGCCAAGGCAGAAAATACATGGCTGCTTTTGCAAGTGTAGTGATGTATCTCCAGAAAAGAAACATGAATAAAAGCAAAGGCATGTTTTCAAGAAGCTAAAATGTGTGACCAGGGCAGAAGTCCCTACAGCTCCATCCACACAGCTTCCGGGCGCCCTGCAGCCACCCCGAAAGGCACTGGTCCCGGATAACTGGTGACACTGGGTCTCTAGAAGAGGGTTTCTGCCCACAAACTCACCACTGAAGCCAAGTGACTAAAATCCATTTTGCAAAGTGTGAGACTCCCCCTGCTCAATGTTCAGGGTCCAGCAGGGTCCCCAGCCCACCCTTTGCCCAGGGACAGACTGTGGCGGCACTGGCACTTACCATCGTCTGAAAGCAGGAGTGGAGCTGGGTCAGGAATGGAGGCTTCCCGGAGAGAGCCAGGACGCGTTTTTCAACCATTGTGCACTCTACGTCGTCGTCCTGGATAACAACGTCCTTCTTCAAGATCTTAACGGCATAGAGCTCGTCGGTGCCCTTCCTCTCCGCCAGCATCACCTGCATGAGGGAGAGGACACACACAGGATAAAGGAAAATGTGGATCTGCGATGCTTCTAGCTTGCCACAGCCAATAGTTAAAAATAGCAGCTTGCTTATTATTCTTTCGGCTCCCATCATAGTCCTGAAAAGAGATTCAGGAGCCAAATGATGCAGAAAGCTACCAGTGGTATCTCCAAAATTATTCAGGAACCCTAAGTCTAACAAGTAAGACATCTAGTTCCTCGCCACCTCATCACCTCGAGGAACCCAGTCCAAGGGGTTTGCTGATGTCTGAGTCACAGATCACCCTTCCTCACCTTTCACCCCCGAATCGGGGCCTGGTTCGGCACCCTCAGGGTGGAAGCAGCATCGGGGAAGACGTCAAGAACTTGAACACAGAGTCCATCAAGTTACAAAGCAGTAAAAACTTAAAGTGGAAAAGAGTTAGTATATAGCCAGTAAGTAAGAAAAAGCCAGCAAGGTTTTCCCTGCCTCACACACCCCCTCCACAATGTGCGCAGCGATCAAAACTCAATTACTTGCCGGTCCATCACCCAGCCAAAGCCCCTCTCATGCAGAAGAATCCATTCAACCTCCCATTTTAAACCAGTTTCACCCATTTGCAAGTTTATTTATCGCAATAAATGGGATGCACTGGTTCTGCTGGTGCAAATTTCCCTCATTAATCACATCAGCCCCAGTGAGGATCCCCAGACCGATCCACCACGCTCCATCAGTGTAAGCTGCTCCTCGGGCTCCCGGCAAAATAAACGGACTCTGAAACCACACTTTGCTTCCCATTTTCCCTCCTCGCACTCTCTCATCATGTTAGATCCGAGCGCTCAGTGGAAATGAATTGCTTTCCGTTTGAAAGAGTCTGCAGAAATCCTCCAGTCACATCAGGAACAGGAGTTCGGATGTCTTAAAAATAAATTATGAGAAGTCAACATCAATAGGGTGGAACTGAAATGCATTTCAGACTGCAGCAGACTGGTAGAGGAAACACGAGCAGGTCTCACAGATGACTTTTGAGACACTAAGGACAGCAGAATTAACCCTCTTGTCAGCCCGAGGCAGACGACACGGGGCCAGAGCCCTGTGTTCCCGCTGCAATGTGCCCAGCTCCCCCACAGAGTCCCGGGCCTCCCCGGGGAGCAGGAGCTGGGGCAGAGCAGCCCCCTTTGGGGCTTGGGGAGAAGGCAGCAGTGTGCCAGCCCTGGGGCAACAAGGCAGGGGACACAGCCCAAGGACTGAGGTCTTCGGTGCCCACCCACTTGTTAGAGTGAAAATAACAATACAATTGGGAACAGTACTTTTTGAAAGCACATGGCTCTGGCTCATTTCAGGTGCTTGGCTGTGGCGCTGGAGAGGCTGGCTGTCCTTGACACGCTGCTTGTCAGGCTTAGCTGGGAAAGGCATTGGGGCTCCTCAGCGCCAAGTGCTTTGGAGAAGCCACTGACATTTACATTTTCATCAGCAGAGCCAGGATTGCAGTGACCGCACGCCACACTCATCCGTCGGCAGTGCTAAAAAGCAGACTGACAGCATGCCAGCGACTTCAGTAACCGATTTATTTACTCACTGATGTTTGAAGAAAGTTGAGAACCCAGAGCCCGGAGCAGCTGGGTGTGCTGCTGTGAGGCAGCCCAGCAAGGCACAGGCACTGGGACTTCATCCTTTCCTGGTACCAGCTCCCTGAGGTGCAACAGCCCATTGCACCAAATCAAGGAGCTCTCCTCGCAGGAGTGCCCACGGGCATGGACAGACGGGTGCCCTGCCTGCAGCCGCGGGACAGGGTGCCAGGGCAGCAGACACAGCAGCTTCACACGGATTCTGCACCTCTGCCCTCCCCTGCAAGTCTGCACAAACTGAACCGTTTCAGTTCATTGCCTCCATTTATCTTCACCATTTTTACACGAGTTGAGATACACAAGTCACTGTGTGCAGGTGCTAAAAAATGGGGCTGATTTTTAAGTGATAAAAGCAGATGGGCTTCAGCAGCACAAAGTTGGTGGAAAAGAGAAGCGACTGCTCCAAGAACACAGTTTGTGGAAAGATGAAGCCTGTTACCTGGGAGTAAATGCATTGTATGCAATATCAATTATATGCAGACCTACCTTGCTATCCATAACCCTTTCAGAGAAAAAGTAACTAAACCAGGGAACTTCTGAGCCTGGCATCTGCTGCTGCCCCAAAGGGACTGTGCCAGGGCAGGGGGTGGCAGCAGCAGCCCTCTTCAGAAGCAGAGACTGCAGTGCCAGGCAGGGCTCGGAAAGCATCCTGGTGCTTCTCCAGACATTTTCCTTGGAGACTTTTGGGAAGAGCG